GCTCCCAGTTACTGACACCCACCCCCACACACACAACCTTTCTGCCTCCAGAAGGCTGTGGACAGGTAAATGGGATATACAGTTCTACACATGCTGAACTGGCAGAAACGTGGCCTCCACATTACTCCTGGCACATATGCAACGAGGCTAGAGAAGGGTTTTGAGGAGTCTGGGTCTCAAGGCATGCACTCATGGGACACAGGCCCTGTTTCTGAGAGGCATAGTCCACAGCATGCATGGGGTACAGGGGTCTCTCCTGAGCCAGGGAGACCCCAGGGGATTGGAAAGATGCAGGCCCCAGAGTAGCCCCTCCAGCCCACTGCTTGCCATTGCAGACAGCAATCTGGTAGCTGGAAAAGGGAGTAACAGGATCTTTTCCACTTGCACCAGGGACACAATTGGCATTTCACTTGATCACCAGGGTGTACAGGGCCAAATCCTGCCCTGGCATGAGGGATCTCAGAGGAGGAGATGAGAGGGAGGAGTAGTGTTGTCTCTGCCCAGTGGTTCATAGATTCTTGACAATACAGCTTAGAATCAGACCACCTGGCCCAGAGTAAGTCACATCTCATCTGTAAGCCAGGGGACCTAGAGTCCCTGTGTTCCTTTCAGCTCCAGCTATGGGGGCTCTGCCTGCTCGGTCAGGAGAGCCCCTGGGAGCTTGCTTATGTGTCTGGGTTTGCACTTGGGGTTAGGATGCTCAGGGGGGAAAAGGCTGTGCCTTGCCAGCTGGGAGATGTGGCTCTGGTGGATGTGTCATTGTGGAGGTTGTGCCGAACTGGGAGCTGTCACAGGTACATCACTAGGCAGCTGCAGCACTACTGCAGTTTTGTTCTGGTGACCGGTGAGTGCACATGCAGGAGGAAGGCTGGGCTGGATGGGGACTGGGGTAGATGCCCAGAGCAAGAGCCTCTCAGGGCAAGGCACAGGGCATGGTGTTGCCCTTGGGGCTGGTGGAAGGGTAGATTAGGACTCTCAGTGGTGGCAGGTGCTCAGAGAGGCTTTGAGGACATGCTGGGTGTCTCCAGCCCTGTGCTCCTTCCCACTCAGACCTGCTGAGCCCCCTTTCCTCCCACCAGGCCATGGCTCTGGCACTCATGTTCTTTCTGGCTCTGCTGACCACCCAGCCCATGCTGCAGCACCATGACCAGACGGATGTGGACACAGACAAACGGATGCAGGAGCACGAGCATTAACTGCATCATGAGATTACACAGCTGCTGCAGGAGATTGAGGGGAGCCGGGGCATGGTGGAAGTCAGCTGTCCTTCCTGCTCTGCAGCAGCAGTGGCTGTTTTGGACCTCTGCAGCAGCCCTGGTCCTGCTCGCTGTGGTCTGCTGGCTGGACAGGCAAAGGAAGCTTGCCTCTCCCAGCTGCAGTGAGCAGGAGAGCTTCAGCAGCAAGAGGAAGGGTGATGACCAGGAGGAGAAGCTTAAGGGTGTCTGCAATGGTGTCAGCTCTTTGTGTCCACCCCATTGCCAATGGAAGCATTCACGATAAGTCTGGATGGGGCTTTGAGTGATCTGATCTAGTTAAGAACGTCCCTGCTCATTGCATCAGGTGTTGGACTGTATGGCCTTTAAAGGTCCCTTCCAATCCCAGCTTATCTGTGATTCTAAAGCAGGATCTGCCCAGCATGTGAAGTGTGGACCAGTGTGATAGAATCACAATTGTATCATCTCATGAGGGAGTACTATGAAGTTCCCCAAAATGGTGATCCTAGTCCAGTCCAAAAGGACAATAAACATCAACACTGGGAAGACATTCTGCAAGAAAGGCATCACCTAACAGAACCCTTGTTATTTGTTTTCTTTTTCTCTGAAAGCAAAAAAATCAACTTTGTGACCAGCAACTACTAAACCAGTACTATGAATTCTCCCCGAGGGTAACCCTTGTTGCCTGTGACCCTGCCATGGACCTGTCTCTTTGCAGGGGGTGCCCAGTGCTGGTCCCAGACCCCCTGAAGAGGTGGAGCAGGGGCCACACATCCTCCTGCACTGCACACTCCACCTTCACAGGCAGCACAGCCCTAATGTATGGTGCATATGTGGCATACATAACTCATATGGAAACAACAGAGCACAGCGTGGTTTATGGCCATCTGTGCTTCACTCCAGCTTTCTTGTCCTCTGCTGGCATTGACAAGTCAGCAATATCGATCTGGGGACTGAGGGATTTGTGTGGCACTTGGCTTTAGGCAGCCTGACCTGTTTTCAAATCCCCACGAGCCTTGCAAAACGCACATAGCTCAGCAGCACAGCTTTTCTGGCCCTCACCCCAACATCTCAAGCTGTAAGTGCAGGGAGGGACTGAGGGGTGGCAGAGGTCTGTGACTAGCTCTGCACAGCTTGACATGTCTCATCAAAATATCTCAGGTGTTCTTTGTGTGGTCCTCCCCCTCCAGGATGCAGTTCAAGGGTATTGAACAGGAAGGATTCAGAGGTGAAATGACGCACCGGAGCAGTGAGAAAACTGGGGCAGAGAGCAGAGGTGAGAGGCTGCTGGATGTTAATGTGGTGGTTTATCAATGGGGTGACAGCCAGTGGCAGGGCTGAAAGCTCTTAATGGAGATCTTCGGTCTGTCAGGCCAAGATAAACAAATCCAAAGGTTGAAATGCAGTGGGAGAGGTGCAGAGAAAGGAAGTGAGGAGGAGACAGGCACTTCAGTCCTCAGAGTGGGTCTGTGGTGTATGTGGGGAGACAAGCCTCCAGATCGAGCTCCTGTGCCAGCAGCTCCACACTGCCTCAGCCTTCCAGAGCTTTCCCTGGCCTGTGTATCTCCCTGCAGGACTGCGGAGGGAAGGAGATGGGTGGGAGAATGGAGAAAATACAAAGCTTTGCTGAACCATGGCATGGCTCATGTGTTTCCTAGGCAGAGCATCGCCCGGGAACAGCAGTCAGGATCTCACTGCCAAACCACAGACAGTTTAAAGGGAAAAAAAAGGCTCTTGCAGCGAGATGTAAATGCTTAAGTTAAACGGACTGGTCCAAACCAGGAGGCAGCAGCAGCTAATGGGGAAAAAACAGTGGGTGTGAAAGGGCTCTTTGTCCCAGCAGGAAGGCCAAGGGTGCCCAGAGGCTGGGCACTGGGACGCACCCTTATTGGGGTGCAGGGCAGGCTTGTTTGCAGTGCAGGGCGCAGGCTTCCAGAGATGTGCTTTTACACTTTGGTTCTTTTTTCTTCCCTTGCCTGGAAGTTGCTTTGATCAAACAACAGAATGGCTCAGCTGATGCACAGCAGAAAAGCAAGGTAGACCTAAGGAGGAGCTCCAGCCTTCGCACAGGGACAGCTCAGAAGTCCAAGAACCATGCACTGTCTTCCAGCTCGCCCACATCCAGGCTGGGAGGCTGTGGCTCACTGCAGGCCTTGCACCCTCGGAGGACAAAAAGAAAATGAGCACCCCATTCATGGGGAGCTTTGTTCCCTGTCAGAGAAGGTCTTGGAACCACAGAACAGAATTGCTGGGCCAGGGGGAGGGCAGGAGGCCAGGAGCATCTGGGCAGGAAAGAGATGCAATCTCACTACCCTGCTTTCCTGAGCTGAGAGGCACAGAAAATAGAGGAAAGCAGATAACAAAAGTTACCCCTGCCGGCCACTCGCTGGGGCGATGGCCCAGCTCGACAAGGGGTCAGCATGAATTGTGTTTCCTGGCAGCATGTGGCTATGCTTTTAGAGGGATATCCGCTGGGTAGCGTGGGACAACAGAGCTCAACACACATCATGGAGGAGCCTGGAGCAAAGGGCAGGACTAGATCGTGACTTTGAGCATCCCCAGGAGTTCCAGCCTGTTTTGGTGACAGCGATGAGACACATCCGGCAGCTCTTCAATTTGTGTTGGAGAAATTACAGCAAGCCAGGAGGAAACTTCCTGAACACTTTGGGAAGCAGTTGTCTACTGCATTAGTATTTGCTAGTTTATACAGCTGTCCCTCAGGCAGGCATTCAGTCACTGGTAATAGAAAATACAACTAGTACACAGGGTAGGCAGCTAACCCCAGACATGGAGAAGACCCTCATAACTAATAACATGTGCATGGTCACACGCTCTTATGTTTCCTCGGTGTCATAAACATGAACCCTGAAGCAGACTCCGTGGGCAGGTCAAAGACCTTTCGGCTGCCCCAGATGCCAAGCAGGGAAGGGAACATGCCAGTTATATAGTCTTTCACTCTGTACTTGAAGAGGATGGTGAGTTTGGACTGAGCTTGAGACATGGAGGTTTCCTCTGCATCCCAAGGAAGCAATGATGAGAACACTACCCAAACCATTTGGTTATCACTCTGAGCCCCCCCCGGAAGCAGAAGACATCCATATGCTGGCCATATCCACCTTGGACTTGGGCCCATGCAGAGCCTCCTTGCATGAACTGGGTAGAGAGATCCCCACCTCATCTCCCAGTGCCTGCGCCTGCCCACAAGGACCAAACACAGTCATCCATCTTGTCAAACTGCTTTAATATTTGGACATGAAGACAGGACAGAGCCAGTCAGGCTGTGCACAGAAAAGATATCCCCAAACCACAGTGTAAGACTGCAGAGCTTCCCTTCTTAATGGATGTGTGGATTTGGCCAAGATGCAGTTCAGCTGACGACATCCTGAGCATGCCAGTGGGGTGCACGTGTAGGGTAGGGAAGAGGGATGGGGGCTCTCCAAGGCAGCTCAGAGGTTGTTCAGCTCCAACAAGGTCTGGTCCAGGACCTGGTGGATGCCCACGTTCTCCTCTTTGGCACTGGCTAGAGTCTCTGTTGAATACAAGGGAGACGCAGCCACACACACAGACACAGCCCAAGTGTACCAAGGTACAACCAGACCCACACACACCACACCAAGAAGACACACGCACACAGACACACATTTCAGTACAGTGATGCCTCCAGCCAAACAGGATGTCCCCTGCGGAGCAGAGCCCACACAAGCAGCCCCATCTCTGGCATGGATGAGTCCAGCCGCCCTGGGACCTGCCAGGGCAGCCAGGCCAGTC